GGTATAAAATCAACTTTTGTCAGCATTGGAAATGTAGTGATAGAGCTTACAGTTCCCGTTTTGTAGGATTGCGAGAAGTGCTTGCTGAAAAGATGAGCATATCAGAAGGTGAGAGTAAAAAAGTCGAGAAATTAATGTGTATTTTATGAGTGTTAATCAATTGTGGTTGAGTTATTGATTTTCTGTGTTATCAACCAGTGGGAGGTAAGACAAAGTTTAAGATACAGATTCACACGTTCTTTTATATTGTGGGCTAATTGTCAGTCCCTCATCCTTCAGTCCATGTAAACCAATCAATTCCGAGCTTATTTGAGATAATTTCACATCGACTTGTTTATCGACAGAGCGTCTGATCAATATCGATTACGCTTGCTTATACACCTTATAGTAGCGTTCGCTATAGCAATGGCTTCGAATAGCAAGTGGTTTGAGCCCCGGCTGCTATAACCACTCGCATCTTTTTCTGGTGGAACGCTTGAGGTCCTCAAGTGTGATACTGGTGAGAATGTTAATATCTTTAGCACTCATTCTCATTCGCGTCACTTTTCTTTCGGTATCGGCAGTCTGGGCATTAGTAATCACTTTTTCACAACGTTCAGTCATTAATATGAGGTCTTCAAGTGAAGTAGAAAATGAAAAGTTGCAGAAATGGTCTGATAACCAGACACTCGTGAAAATGTTTACTGTTAGATCCAAAATACCACTGTCCTCTTAACAGTGCATGTGGAAAAACTACTACTTCCACTAGGCTTAATGCAACCGAAAGGCTGGGTTGCCCACACTTTACGATACAGTTGATTTCAATACCCAGAACTGTGGGAGTGCAAATAAATTAACTGCTTCACACAAGCTCATGAGAAAAACATTACATATTGCATATTGAGGGGGCAGTGGTACTACCCTTCACCGAAAAAATCTTTTGCTTTAGATTGTGTTTTAAAATGTAAAAGCTTTTTTAAATTTATTTAGGTTAGATTTTCAGTTACAGTAACATAAAAGCCTCGGCCTTTTGTGTTTATTGTCTGTCGCTTTAAGTGGCTTATAAATAATTTTTCCAGAAAACTGTCTTTTGCTTATTTTTTCCTCATGCCTGGAGAAATCGTTCGTGTTGCTCTCTCTGCAAGCCCACTTGACAATTTTAATGAAGTTAAAAAACATCTCTGTATGAACGCATATGGTATCACAACGTGCGTACCGGGTTCACACCGGCTTCACATAAAAGGTTAAGCAAGCCACTACCAGATTGGCTGTGGAAATCATGCTTCTCTACAAAGTCTCTGCTGATTCTTGAGGCGAACATAGCTAGAAAGATGCCCTCAGGCAAACAGCCAGCAACTGATCAGCACCTTTTAGCATATCAAGGCAAAACAGGCCATCGAGAAGCAAAGTCTAAGGAGTTTGATTTCATTGAGCAAGAAGCCAAGTGGGCTCAATGACTGGCTTATGGTAGCATCTAGAAAGTTAAGTAGACAATGTGAGTCATGTACTTGTGACGTGAAATCGGACTACGGGAATGAGAATGGTTTATGAAACAAAACTTCATGGCTCGTTGAAACGAATACCAATGAGGGGTCAGTCATTTTTCTTAAGGGAGTCTTCTGAAAGGGAACCAAAAGCTAGATTTTAACGCGACCAAAACCCCAGTGAATCTCGAATAAGCAAGCTACCTTAAAAAACAGTAGCAGTTGGACTCGTTCATAAGACTTATAGGATATTATAGAAAGCAGATTGTGAAAATACTAAGGAAAGCCACCACTTAACAAATACTTTCGCTTTTGTTGAAGAAATAAAATTTAGACAAACTAATTGTATTTGGAGTATTTATCGGTGTAGATCTCAGCCCGTAACAAGAGACGATCAGCAGAGGTAAAAATAGATGCGCGACACAAGAACGGTTTAAAATGCTTTATACTTATGAGTTTCCGCATTATAAAATTTCGGGACTAAACGATCCTCAAACCACTGTGGGTGGTACAAGAAAGCTCTCCACGGAATTAAAGGTAAACTACACAAATGCTCACAGCCACTTAGCAATTTGATGGATCTCAGGAACGTGGTGAGCACAGAAAATCTTGATGCTATTGCCACTTCAGAGACATGTTTAACGTCAGAACTGTATGATACTAATGTTCAGTCGCTTGGTTTCTTACTTTGTGCGGCTGACTAAGTTGACCCTAGGGCTGGTGGGCTTGTCCTGTGAGCGAAAAGGATCTTAACCCTAAAAGCTGTCAAGACAGTGGCATACGACTCAGGGACATGTGAACTGGTCTACTTCCGGCTGAAGTATAAAGGGCGATATATTAACTTAGTTGCAGTGTGCCACAGTCCAAAATGTATAGCATATAACTCCCTCATAAATAAATAATAAATCTTGGTAGGTGACTTTGGAGTACGGACATCAACAACATCGTCTGATTAAAAACAGTTAGAAACCTCAGTCACCCTGGCGGCCTGCCTGAGTATCTGGTCTACCTGTTCCTCCGATCTAGATATTTCATCAATTTATCTGTTTTGTTGTTTGTTTTAGCACGTCATTATGTCTATTGTGCGCACAATCTATTCAGGCGCGTTTATGAAAAGTTTACAACCTTTCTCTATACATGATACAAAAAGGTACACTCAGCGACATCATGGTGGCTGGCAATATGCATTGGAACGAATGAACGTTAATCAAATGTGGATTACCGAACTCCTAACATCTAACCGGTCATCATTCAAAATTTATCGTCACAATAAATCAAGGTATAAGAAAAGGAAACTTGTTGAAATACTTTATGCTGAGAATTCTATGTTTTACCAAAAATAAAATGTTGAATAAAGCAAAAAAATACCAGTAATTAGAGGTACCGCCAGATATGACCTATAACACTCATCTCGTTCAGACTTAGTTTTCACTCACGGTGATTGTGTCAGTCAAGTAACTTTATTCCCAGTTTGAAGGAAAAGTGATCATGTGGTCACCTTACTCAAGTTCATGGCTGAGATAGCCTCCAGGCAGTTGCGTTGGCCCATCCCAACATGATGGAGGAGACATAAACGCGATCAATTTCGCAGCGTCGGTTGAAAACTGGATAATTCACTCAAGGGTATAGGTAGAAGCGGCATGAATCCATTTCCGCCAGTTTTAGAGCCAAGTAACTCAACCATTTATACCCTGAGCAGCCCCAAAAAGTAGTACGACCATCCCGTCATAAGGAGGGATATTCGACATTTTCTAATAATAAAGTGAAATGTTAGCAAAACCAAAATCAGCCTTGGAACAGCAAGTCAAACAGCCTTAGGGACTATCATCGTACATAAATTACAAAACAAGGATGCAGCATTGGATTCGTAACCCAACCATGGGAGAGAATAGATATCAAATCACAGAGGATGATCAAAACAAAGCAGAGTTTGTGGCAAACTATTTCGGGACAACCTAAACTGAGGAGTCTCTTCAAGACGAAGTACTAGACTAAAAACAAGGTCAAAAAATCATCTGTTCACTGTGAACTTCGATTGAGACGATGTAGTTAAGGATTTTAGCACATAAGACACGGAAAAGCAACCGAGACAGACTAAATACACCCTAAAACACTGAGACAAATTGCACAATATATTGCTACCTTATTAACTACTATATACAACAAGTCACTAGGCCGAGGTAAGTTACCTACCAACTGAAAGGTTGTCATCGTCACTCCACTACATAAAGCAGGATCATGAAAACTTCCATCTAAAAACACAGCTGTCAGCCTCACCAGTATCGTAGTGAAAATAGCAGAAAGAATAATCAAAAAGACAATAATGACATTCGTGGAAACCAACTTGTTAAAAAGTGAAAAAAACCGTTTCAGAAAAGGTTTATCTTGCACAACAAATTACCCTATGGCGAAATGGGAATAGATAGAGCCTCTAGATAATGTAAAATCAGTGGATGTTGACCACACAGACCAGCAAAGCATCTGATAGGGCGCCGAATCATAGACCCCTTTTGAAGCTAGAAAGTCCAGGAATTTTATAATCTTTGTCAAGCTGAAGCTGGTACACGTGCATTTCATGAAGACTTCAATGTTCTGATTAACCAGTCTGAAAATGGGTGGTACCTATCATCATCTACTTGCAAACTGGATGTACAACGCTTAATAGGTACAGCGTAGGGGAAAGACGATGCAAATAATCCGGCCTCACGAGGATCTTGTAGCGAGAGTGGGCCATGATCGTAAGGACATGACACACTGCCATGGGGTCGCAAGTATGATGTTAATAACTCTACGAGCTTTACGTCGGACATTTATCAATTTAAATACTATGTTCACCACAGTATATACAACATTAGTGAGATTCCAACTTGAGAACTGAGTTCAGGCTGCAAGATACTGTGTAAAAGTTGGCTCGAATATCCTTGAAAAGGTACAAAGGGCGGCTACCAGTGCGATTCCAGAACTCTGAGGTTTACGATCCGAAGATCATCTTGAGAAGATGGACCTGTTTACACTGTCTCCGATTAATAGGTTATTTGATCATGACGTACAGGATACTAAGAAGCGATTTTAAATCTGATGTATCGTCTATTTTTTTCTATTATATCGGGATGATTTAGAGGATATAGAAGGTGAGTAGAAAAGCCAAGAACGAATAAACTACCCATGACGAACAGGTTTTCACACAGAATCAATTCTTGGAATCTGTTTTTCGAAGCAGTGGTGTCCTTACCTTCAATTGACTCTTTTAAAAAGAGATTAGACACTCACAGAAGCCTACTAGAAAAAGACTAACACAGGCCATATGCATTCTGAACTTACTACACAATTCTGAAAGATCTTTTTCCCATCGAGTAGTCAGTAACTGAAACACATTACGAGAGCAAGTGATATCAGCTCCATCAGTGAATTTTTTTAAAAAGCCAAAAGTTCGCTGGAAAATAGGCTGCAAGGATTAACACAGGTCCATTGACCTATTAACTCTATTACTGAAAACTGAATTTGAAAACCGAACTTTCTGAAGTGTGCGTTACTGTTATGGAGAGTGTCGTAGTCTCAGTTTATAATTCCTGGCGCGATGTTGCATTTGGTGACTTACAAGTACTTCGTGGCATTTGTATTAGTTAGATTTTAGAAAACCTTAGAGTCAGTAGCATGTGAACTGACCTCCAATCATGAGAAAAACGATATTTCAAGGACTAATTTAGTAAATCAGACTAAAGAGTTCCGAAAATCTGCCTCCGAGGTACGAAAGATGTTATGCTTACTTCAAGTTTAGGATGTACGTAAATATTGTTCGACAGTTATCAAGTGTTATCAATCGGAATTCGATGCACTTCAGAAGAGGTGTAGATATGCTGAGGAAGCTTACCTTTCAATGTACAAACAGCTTATTGATCTCCCAGGTTTGAAACTCCATTGAGATTATATGCCTTATAGATCCCTTATTCGCACTTGGAGAACTTCATTCCTTACAAAACGAGCTGAGAAAGCTATAGAATTCGAGTTCGAATCACGAAGATTCAAGGAAAACTGTGACGAATTAAAAATAAAAGTTCAGGAGCTCAAAAATTACGGTATTTCCCGAATTAAGAGTTTATTTTAGAACGCGAAAATAAGCGCTTGCAGAAACGTCTCGACGAGTTGACGGTCTCTTTGGAAACTCAAATCCAGCTGAACAGTGCGAAGATAGTGGATGAATATCAAAGGAAGTTGGATTTCAAAGAGCAAGAGCTTGCCAGCTTTAAAGTTGAAGCAGAGGAAAAGCTGTGTAGCTTTGAATCTAAAAATATAGCGATTTCCAAAGGTATGTTGATATTGGATACTATCGATCTAATTAGCTCGATACTTGTGACATAACTCAGTTTGAATGCAGTTATCACAAAGCTGTTACTGTACACACCTTAACCCATGCCTCATCATCCGTAATTTTGCAAGTTTGATTAATAATTTTGGCGCCAGACAGGATTACATTAATTGTGTAGACAGTCTTTACTTGACTTCTGTTAGTCGTTTGAAAGCTTATGGTGAATAGTTATCGGTATGGGTTGCCTCCTACAATACTCGTAAGCTATTCCCACCCTCCTCAGTTTTAGTTAGGTATGTCATAGATATAATCCATAAAATTACATTTCAGTACCTGCATATTGCACTCACTTAAAAACAGCTCTGAACTGTACGGTACTGACATTGTGTCCACTAGCCGCTAAGCTATTGGGAGAAACAATTTCTCATCGACTCAAATATCGTCCACAAATTATGATGAGCTATTTTGGCACAACTCTCGCATGTTAAAATATTATTCTTTAAATTTTAGCACTGGAAATGGCACAATCTGAATTATTTAGGCTTAAAACAGAAGCGAACGCTACCGAAACCGGCAGGTTAATTTAATACTTTATGTTCAAACACTAATTCTTTGATAGGTCTTCCGAACTTGAGTTACTTATGGATGATCTTGAAAAATCAAATGCAGTAAGTAGTAGTCCTTACCTTGTATTCAAATTGTCTTTTGTTAACATTCGTATTGATTTCAGTGGGAATTTTCGATATTATGAAACAATTATCTTGTAGTAAATAGCTTCGTTTCTAAATGGTCTTATTTGTAAGTTTTGGCATTTTAGGGGTGAACCTAGCGTAGCAAGTTATGGGAAAATTTTTAAGCGCAATCGACCACAGTTTACTTCTTACCAGCGATTCCAGTCATCGGTGGATTTGTTTTGTGGTAAATAATCTAAATTTATGCTCATATAAGACACAAGAACTTCATTTGTTTCACTGAAATCATCTTTACGTATTCCGCTATGCGGTTTTCTCATGTATTCGTGGTTTGGTATTTTAGTACAAGCAATGTAAATAAATATTTCTCATCATTCCACAAACGTGGTCTCAGCAAGGATTTTCTTAATAAATGTAAAAAGCTCATGTAGAATTTTTAGCTAGGGGAAAGTCCTAGTAATGTGAAAATTTGTTGGAATTATATGAGATACTATTTTTCTTCTCTTATGTTTCCTCCATTAGATGTAACTGAAATTATGGTTAGTACAATGAAAAACTAACTCGCTAGAAAAACGCTAATAAGAAAAATACGATGAATAGCATCAATTTATTAACTAAGTCTTTCAAAGGAACTTAAGCGTTTTTGGTGTGACCATCTATCATTATCCTCAAAACTTTTTAAAATCTACATCTACCAACTATCAGTTAGAGAAGAATGTATGCACTGTGGATAATGTGTTGTTTGATATATTCACCTATTTTTTTCTAGTCCGGTGGCTGATTATCAACGTTTTACCTAGTGATCTCGACAATTCATGCACTAAAATGTATAGAATCTAATACCACTTCTTTTTTTAAAAAAAATGTTGAATTCTATTAATGTTCTATATGGTATAGAATCTGTAAATATATATGTAATCCGATCTTACCCAATAGTTCAAAAATTTAAATGGTCCGGAAGTTTAAGTGTTTACTAAATTATATTTTGTTCAAAATTTAGTAATCCATATTCGGGCTTTTTGTTTTCGCGACTCTTCAGAAACTTGCTTCTGCTGAAGCAGAGCTGGCCAAATTACGTGAGGATCATGCGGACATCCCAAAGTTACCCATCGTAGACATTAGTCGACTTCAATGTCGCATTGAAGAACTTGAATTTGAACTGTCCAGTTGTTCTCAACAAGTAAGTCCAATAAGGTTTGTTTTCGGGTTTAAAAATACTAGATATCAATCTATATATATGGGGTGTATTATTTTTAAGGTCAGCATTTTCTAAGCTCTGCAATTATGGGAAGGCAGCATCGTTGTGATTGTTAGCTGTCTGAGGAAAACACGTCACTTCCACCACACCTCAGCGAGACCGGCACTGTCACCTGCTCTGAATGATAGTACCTACAAGAACAAGTGTTCAGGTCAATATCACTCGGCTGTGTTATCGCGATAAGCAATTCTGACCATCACGTCAAGGTTGCGGTAGTTGTCGTACTAGAGTTCTGTGTAAACATTGTTACGTACCAAACATTCAAGTTAAGTAAAAATACTGTCAATGATTGAATCAGTATCAGTGCTTTCTATGTGATATGATAACTAATCGTTCAAAATATGAGTTTCTAGGAGTTTAGGGCTGCATGAACGAGGGATTTGGATTCTTTCATAACAAAGGCCAGTTAGTATACACTGATTCTTAGCTTAAACCTAATGTTTTCACTTTTACACACATAACTTTCGCTTCCAATAACTGCTTTTACTTTACCATCAACCACTCTTTTGCTTAGTTTTTTGAAGGATTTTGGAAATCTGTTATGACTTTATGTCCGGCTCTTTATCACATGATTTATCCACTAATCAAGATACGGTTTATACAATCTTAGCACTGTGCCAAACCACTGACGTTCGACCGATATGGGCAGCCTAGCTTCCTTATTGGTCCTATGTCCGTCTAGTCCATCCACTTGAGTCCAGAACATCAATACCAGCTTCCACTATGCGAATCGAATCATTTATTTCAGACATACTGGGTTTATATATCAATCAAACAGATCACAACGCACCATAAAATAGGAAATAACATTTGTACACAATAAAGCCAAAAAGTGGCTGTAAACGTAAGAGGCAGTAGTCAATAAACTGAACATAGCTTAATAACCGTAAATCGTACAATAATAAATTATAGGTCAAAATAAAGCTTATAACAAGGGAAATATAGATATACATAATCCAGTTACCGAATATGTATACCAGCCCCCAAATGCCCTGGTATGGCCGAGAGTGGGGCGGGCCCTCCCTCTCGAAATGCTCTCACATAGCCACGCGTATACAGCCTCTGCCAGGGAAGTCCTACTCATTGCCTTCTCGTGGCGGGGGTGTTTACGAAAATGAGAGGACGAAAAGCGAATGTCCGGAGCTTTAACCGGATCCCAAACCACTGGTGCATATGGGCTCCAGTATCCTGCAGGAACAAATGGCGTATGAACCAATCGTCGGTCACCGGCTACCATGGGAATGCATCTCCTCACAATGCTCCACTGCCTTGTGGGTTAGACCTATAGGTCGAAGGCTCGGGGTGTGGTCCCCTAAGAAAACCACCTGGTTCGGTCTGGGCACCCGGGCAGTATCATAGCCCGCACATACACAAATATGGTGTGGCGCATTTATATTTGGTGCCCTCTTATACCAATATTTATGTGTTGAAATACTAAATAATAATATGTATACCATGAGAATATATAAATAATAAGAGTCCATTATTAAGTCTCAGACGTTACTCGTAATGTAACCTTCACTAGGATATAACAAAATTCTTTTCTACGTCTGGGCTTTTTGGGTAAACGCCGTTTGGTGGGTGTATTAGAGTAGTTACCAAGATTACTTTTTTATTCTCGGTTCTAGAAATCGTCATTACTCGACCAGTTGGAATCGCTCAAATCTTTGAAGTCATCCAACGAAAAGAATCTAGAAAATTGTATTCAAGAGCTGCAAACGACAATTTGTCAGATCAAAGCTTCTCTGGAAGTGGCTAATATTAAACTTGAAAATCAATCTGATTACGAAGAAATAAAACGCGAACTATCTCTTTTACGCTCAATTGAATTTCCTGAAAATGTTCAGCCAAATGAATCGGATAATTTTATTCAAGACGAAACATCTGATCGTGCCCCATTGGAAGTACTTCTTTTAAAAAAGAATAAATCATTGGAGAATCAGTTGGCCGAAGCAAACACTTCACGTGAAAAGTTACAAAGTAGGTGTTATAAGAGTTAGATTTAATTTTTTAGCATTCATTTCATGAGTTAATCGATGTAAATCATGTACAAACTATGGGTTTATATTTTCAGCCTTAAAACACACTTTATATGTAAGAAGCAACACTGCTACTACTGAGCTGTTCTAATCGAAACAAGGCGGTTGTACAACCTTTACTGAATGATTGAAATTTGTTAAATTCAATCCTGAAGCCACCGTTTTACGATACATATTTCGTACTTCATTTTATTATAGTGTATCCATATAAATAGATCGCGATGCTCTTTGGAATCCAATTCTATAATGCTAACATTTCTGTGAAAATTATCTGAAATCACTCCACAAATAATCTATATACTATACTACATGAATGTAGCTGGACTTCTCTTCGGAATTCCAGCTTACCTGACAATTGACTTCAATTGAAATTTTATCCTTTGATTGGATATTTTAATGATTTGGCAGATCATCCCGATAAAATGAGATTTAAATTGTGGCGGACCAAAAACACAAATACTTAATAAATAGAAACGTTTTGCAAAAATAAGTGTGTAAAATGAGTTACTGAGGTACGAAAACTAGACATGTATATAAGTTATATTAGAGTTGTTTCTAAGTCGCTAATGGTTGTGTGGTCAACTGTTCCAAAAATAAGTTCACAATTATAATAGATAATCGGTTATTCTAAAAAGCGTGATATAATCCAAGATAATGCTACATAGTTGTTCAAGTAATGTTGAAAGTTACAATCCATAAATATATACTGCAGGTATATAAGACCGAAAAATGAGTAAGAATGATAAGTGATGTATGAAGCGGTTTAATGTTTTGTATAATAATCAGTGTAACATCCAAATAGTGTTCGAGGAAATTCAAGGTCGATTTAAACAACAATCTGCTGTCCAAAACAATGTATAAACTAAAGGAAATTACAAAGGAATTTGAAAAATGACAGAAATTATTTACAGTTGGAGTTTATATTATGTATATCTATAAGCGTAAGATTATTAAGTAATTCACTGATAAATGTTCCTTTTAAGATTAAATTGAATTGTGCAAAATTTGGTCATAATACTCTGTTATATCCTGGCATTTTCTTTTATAAATTTACTCAGTTTTGATATTTTTCCAATATAAAATTTGTTGTGTGTGGTAATTATTTAAATGTAATTAGTAATTACTGAAAAGAAGAAACCGTACATAGAGGGTTATACTTTTCCATAAAATATATACAATCCCTGGAGCAGTAGGTCAGATTCGTTTCGGGAGCCCGAGTCAAGTATATTGAGAGGACACTGCTGAAGGGTAACTACGGGCGTTCATTCATTGAATTCACTACCATGTCGATATCTTCGGGTTATGTAGAAAAACCCAAGTTGCAATGTGTTTGCAATTATTTATAATATTTAGTGCCATAACTCTACGCATAAAGGAAAAATTGAAGTGGTTAGTTTTTTTCATACTCTATGTCTGCAGTTGTGTTCTTATGCAAGCACTGTAAAAGGATACAAAAAAGTATCTGTTCTGATTGATTAGTCACTGAGTAGTGACTAATGTAATGTTTGTTTAGTCTATTGTGCTGATCGGATTCTTTCGATCAAGTTGCAGTTTGTCCACTAGTCTAACTGGGACGACATCGCGTGCACTATGTTTTAATGTAATGTGGTTGGAGGTAGTCGATAGGAGACATTGAATCTAGGTTTCTTATTAGTTGGAACTCGTCACTATGGTGTACTTGCAACCTGAGAGCATTTGATGCCTCAATGAGATTCGAGCCCGCGTCATCCAACTTCAAAGTCCCAGGTGTCATCACCTGCTTCGGTCTGGGCACCCGGGCAGTATCGCAGCCCACACGCAATTAATGAACTGAAATTGTGTGGCGCATATATATTTGGCGCACTCCTGTACCAATATATATGTGTTCAAATTAAATAAAATAAAAAAATGTCCATTCAGGATACTGGAGCGTATGTGCTGCTCATTTAACTTTCTCAACTAAAACTTATACTGTTACTGTATATTGATATGTTTTTTATTTGACTTTTCTTTGAGGGATTTCCCTTTATTTTTCCTGATTATCGTTAAAGTTACTTTTCGTAAATGTTTCTTCTTTTTGTTGCTTTTTTGGCAACAGTTGAACTTACTCAAGTCCAATCATATGAAGTTGAAGCCAATCAACGAATTAAAGAGCAAACAGAATTAATAAAATTGTTAGAATCTGATCTTTATCGTTTGCAGACAAATTTGGATGAATCATTAAAGTTAAATGATTCAAGGAACCGGTTGGAAGGTCACCATCTTGCAGAAGTTATCGGTGACCAAAAACCAAGTCAATGTAAGTATCAATAGTTAATAATATTGTTGCTAGAAAATTTCGTGTTATTTTATCTATATTGTAAAAATACTTTTTTTCTATCCATTTGTACTATTTATAATAACATTTATGGATAGTTAGCTTGTAAATGCCATAATAATGAATTTATTGTTTCCCACCTACTTATTACTAATCGATTGGTGAGGTAGTAGATCTTTAACGAGTGATACGGTTGAGATGTGTGGCCAATCGTTCCGTACTTCAACACATGGTATTTACTGGTTTAGGAGTCTGTGGAAGAAATCTGGTGACCAAACCAAGACGTGGCATCAATCCATCAATTCATTGGTTGTAGGTATAAATCATGTTGGCAGGTGCATATTACATGGTTTGAGTCCTTTTGATTATCGTAACTAATGGTTGAGGACGTTGTGGGATGTGAATCAGGATTGGTTCCAATGGAATAAATGCATTCACTCTTCGTTTCCCTCCAGATCTTAAGTTTTAAATTTATCTTATACTTTTCTGTTCCACGGATTCATTCTCGAATCATATTGTTCATTATTAGTGTTTCTTACTACTAGTGAGTCCGTTAATACTCTTATGTCTCTGGAACTTGTTAGTGATCTCACCTCGTTTCGCTGAAATGATATGGCAGCTTGCACTGATGCATCACAGGTTCTCTGTTGCATATAACTGGCTGACGTATTGCAAGTTACATACATACTATATGAAAGACTATCAATATTTTTAAGCGTTTAAGTTAAATAGTTATTCTCTCTTTAATATACCAACGATTGAGAACACGAGTAAACATAAGAGGGTTTATTTAGTCCTACTATCAGTGTTGATACGGTCGGAAAATGAGCTGATATATTTATGGAGTAATTTAGTGTCACTTGGAGTACCAGCCATTGAAGCATTGTTTTGTGAAGTTGGATTTCAGTTTGCTCATAGGATCTAAGGATTGATGATGGGAGATTTGTTTTTTATTTTGCGCAAATCTGAACCGATAGATTTAATGACTGTTTCTCTCTAAACAATATAAATCTGTTTTTAGGGGTTTACTAACTTCGGTAAATTTAAAAATAATTAAGTGGTTTTCCACATTTTAATTGTTTTGCGAAGTATTTTGGATCATTTATTCAACGTTGTGTATTAACCACAAGTCACAAGCAGGTAGTACTAAAAATATTTATCTTTCGTTCTATCAAGCACTCATTTATTGCAATATTCTTCCCAAGCATAGCTGCTAACGTGACGTAATGGCTAAAATTGCTTATTGCGATAACACAGTCGAGTGATATTGACTTGAACACTTGTTCTTTTAGGTACTATCATTCAGAGCAGGTCGGTTAGAGAATGGTTAAACTGAAAGAAGCAAATTGGGGTTTGAAGGCGAAGTCACACTGCCGGTGGTACTGAGGTGTGGTGAAAGTGACGTGTTTTCCTCAGACAGCTAACATTCACAACGATGCTGCCTTCCCATAATTGCAGAGTTTAGAAAATGCTGACCTTAAAAATAATACACCCCACCTTAACCTATGGATTTCTGTTGCTGGTAGTAAGGCCTTTAAAATATGAAGCTAATATATCAAGAACTACTGACAAAATGGTCACATGAAATTGAGTTCAAACAGTTGTTCCTTGAGCACTGTTTTAGCGTTCACGGGTCACCAAGATCGCTACAAGTTTAGCGTTCCAAGAGAACTTTCCGGATGTTTCGAAAGTATTGTTCCACGATGTAGGTAACTGTTAAACAACAACTTTGCACACACTTATAACAGCAGTACTAAACTGATCAATATGTCCATAGAATCTAATGTATTCACTGCTTTTTTTTTAATTGTTAATACATTCAGCGATTTTTGATTACAATAATAAATAATTTGCTTTGTATAGTAAAGCTAACTTGGTTAGATGATAAGGTTTTATCGATTAGTTTATTTAGTCTTGGAGTGTTTAGTCCTGTTATATCATTATCATCGCCATTCAAATGTCTAAATACTTGCTTATTGATGACCTTTATAACATAAGGTGCATATTGTTTCAGTGTTATTAACATATCTTGCGTAACGTGTTGATCCTTCAATAGCGCATTTAATACATTATTTTCTCGCTCTCAGTTCATTACACATTGTAGAACATCACATTTAACTATACCAAAAATGTGACGGTATATTATACTGTACAACTAAAACTAGGTGTCTTTATTGTACATTAGTTAATGTACGTTTTCTTTTTGATCATTCACTACACACTTTTTGATATGATTCTTTTCTCAGTGACAAAATTAAAACGTTTTCCATTATTGGCTAGGAGTTTAAATTATTTACATTTGACTTCAAAACTACACCCATCTTATTCTCGTTTATTATTTTCATAATGTTTATAGACAACAATCATCAAAGTGATTATGTTCAAAGTTCATTTCGAACATTTGATTTTTTTAAAACACCTTAATTTACCAGTTACATATATGACTCCATGTGGTAGATTGTAAAGAGCGTCGAGATTTAGTTCTTGGTTCCTTAATCCACCTAACAGTTAAATATACAAATCATTAGACTACAGCATTAAATTAAAGTACTTGCGATAACTGTTCTTAATAACTACTGTTTGTCAGTTTTATTACTTTCAATTTCGATATAAAGATTAATGGCTAACTTAGAACCTGATAGTCTCATGTTCATCTTTAGACTTCATTCTTTTTAAATTGAGTCCATTTAAATTGAAGAGTGGGATTTGTAAAAAAATATTAGGTTGACGTTATTCAGAATCAGTCACAATAACGCAAATCCATCATTCTTTTTTGCTTTACCTTAAATTTTTTAATACGTCCCTTTTCATTGTCTTTTCGAACTAAATTCACTTCTCATTATCATGGCTTTATTATTATTTAAACACATAGATATAGGTACAAGGGGGCACCAAATACATATGCGCCACGCAAATCTCATTTGATTTGTGTGAAGACTGTGATACTGCCCGGGTGCCCAAACCGAAGCAATCGATTTTCTTAGGGGCCCACACCCGGAGCCTTTGACCTGAAGGTCTGATCCATAAGGTAGTGGGGCAACGTAGGGAAATGCAGTCCCATGGTAACCGGTGACCAACGATCGGTTTACACGCCGTTTGTTTATTCAAGATACTGGAGCCCATGTGCACCATTGGTTTGGAATCAGGGTTTTCGAACTCCCCTAGGTGAACTCTCCATGTCCACCAACCCGATTAAAGCGCCCGACATTCGCTTTTCGTCCTCCCAATTTCGTAAACAACAGTAATGCCACGAGAATGCAGTGAGTAGGACTTACCTGGCAGAGACTATATACGCGTGGCTATGTGAGAGCATTTCAAGAGGAAGAGCGGACTCTCCCCACTCTCGACCGTACCAGGGCATTTGGGGGCTTACCATAGCTACTACATTAATTTAGAATCCTTTGCTATTCATCTTGTTCATTTCAATTCACTGTATTAATGTGGTATAACAAATCCAGTCAGTATACAAATGTACCAGGCTCTCTGCGCGGTTTATGAATAATTGAATTTGATTTTACATAAAATATGATGTATGTGTAAAATCTGGCCATATATCTTAACGATAGTAGTGTTTATGGTTTCTTTCAAAGTGTCATTGACGTTTTTTAAACATTGTCATTTATATATAACCCATGTTAGTTCTATTTTTTTTATTGTCCCAATTAATTGTAAATATACACATGCATTTGTAGACAATCAATCATTATTAAACATTGTACAAAATCAACGTGATCGATTTCGAACACGAGCTGAAGAATTAGAACAGGTTAGTCAATGAAAACAGTCAATTTTTTTCTCAGGTGATTTACTCTTTTATGTTAGTTTGTTTTACAATAGAAGTTATTCTATAGTACACTATCATATAATAAACATAATATAAAGTTTGAATGAATTATACAAAAAGAGTGCGTTTTTGTAGCTAGAGTCCTGAACATGTTGAAAATCACTAACTAATAATATTAACCATGTTATAACTTGTGATTTTGTACTCTTGGTTCCTTGTTTTTCACCCCGTCGCCAATTGTTATAACGCTCGGTTTTACTTCGTCTAACGGTTATAACGGTTAGGTTTCCACGTTTACTCGAATGGGAGGTCAATTTACCTTAGACGAATATCTACACTAGATTCCCTCCCAGTGTCTATTCTACAGGACTTCAACACAACTCAGATCAAGAATACTTGATTAGCCTGACCACAACGTAAATATATTTCCACACCAAAACCCGACACAATCCAACAACAATGAACAATCGATAATAATTATAAGCATAGGGGAATATATAACTCATCTGACACCTGTCAGACTATCTACATGTCTGACTGAACAGACAACCAATTATTATCATTCTCACCCACACATCAGACCCTAAATGAAATTAATCATTCTGAACCAAGAAAAAGTTACATACGGTCGCTCCGTATGTTCTTTATCTAGTGTATATCATTGTATTAATTTTTTCTTTGAATATCTTCCAGTTACGTAATACAAATTTTATTTTAATTAATTTCTTTACCAGAATGAAATAAGTTTACGCCAACAGTTGGTATCACTTCAACGTGAAGTTGAATCAGTACGAGCTGATAACGTTAAATTGTACGAGAAAATACGTTTCTTACACTCATATGGTAGTCCTGTAATACAAAATCGACAAAATAATTTATCTAATCAGTATTCTTCATCATCGGTGACAACATCATCGTCACAATCACCTTGTCAAAATCATGAGTCAAATGATGCAACTATCATTAAATATTCACATGTTTATGAAGCTCAATTAAATCCTTTCAATCAATTTAGTCGATATGAGAAACAACGAGTGTATAAAAAGTTACAACCATATGAAAAACTGATGTTACATTTGGTATGTTGGTTTTCTTTGTCTTTCTTTCATAGTTTACAGTATGGACCTGGTGTTAGTTTGTAGACAATCATTGAAAAAAATTCACTGGATAGTAGTCGTTTTATCCTAGTAGAAGGACTCTAGCAGTGCTTACTTGTCAAGGATTGAAACCATGACTTTCAGGTCCACAGTGAATATTATTCAGCGATATCCATTTTTCAGTGGCATTTCAACTGAAATCGGTCTGTGATAAATACAACCTACGAATGAATAAATGTTTTTTTTTAATGTGATTTATATATATTTTAGGCACATTTTGAACAGTATTTGTTTTACAATGTTTCTGTTATTCCTTTTTTGTTGTTGTTTTTCCAATAGGGACGTTTTGTTAGTTCCGATCGTAGACTTCGTTTGGGTGTATTTTGTATGCAATATTCTTACATTTATTCATATTTATTGCACTGTATAAAGCAGCTCATTTCCAGCATAGTGCTTTAGAAACTGAAGCTAATTGTCATTCTCGGTAAGTATTTCTTAATAAGTTATCAAACCGGAATGCCATATCCTTTATACTGGTGTTTATTCTGTATGCTCACATTAAGTAACACTTAAGACTGCTGTAAATAAACCCTTAGGCACTAAATATCTGTTTTCAACAAGTTTATTACTTATTAATAGTGCATGTACTCTCGAACTCCTGATCTTCAGATCTTGTAGAAAGATCGTCATCAATAAGATATTCATTAGGCTCTACTCTAATTATACAGTTATATGTATATTCATATGTGAACAATTATAAACCAATCGAATAAGTATTTATTGAGTGAATAATAACGATTAAACAGGATTATATAACTAACCATAGTCAGTAAAGGATAATAACTGATATTAAGACGATAGGTCTGGTAGCAGCGGTAAGAATAATAACAGCTTGAATAAGTGTTTTAACATCGAAAGTAGATTAACCTTTGGAAAATAAACATTGAAATAACATTCATTAAAAGTCACTAAGATTGCGTAATCAAATAGTTTCTATAAATATATGGGCAGAAGAGAGTGTAGAAAGTAGCAAAAGTGAGTGTTAAATAATTGGCACAATTGTCTATTAAGTGTTTTCAGAAGATATATGTGAAAATTTCAAAAAGTTCTTCCAAACATTCAGACTAGGATTGTAGGCGCAAATGCCTATAACTTCTACTACATGTAGTAGACGAGTTCAAACCGTGTTGGGAAACCGCAAAGATATACAGATCACTCTGAATGATTAGTTTCTATTTACCACTTGACCATTGTTGACCAAGTGTATTAAGTCGGAACTACGTATTGTCTTTGACCGTTTACGAACAATACAGGAAAAGTTCACTCATCCGCTGGTTAAATTACCCAATGGCACACCTCATATATCCCTCTACAAATTAGTAGCTAAATTGGTAGATACACATTAAAGAGGCAAAATAAAAATATCAGTCATTTGACCGTTCTTGATGCAAGTAAATCGGCACATCAATTTGGACGTGGTCAGATTGTAATTATATTGTTTCAAACTATATTACTTATGGCCCCCAAATGCCCTGGCACAGCCGAGAGTGGAGAAATTCAGTTCGCCCTTTCGAAATGCTCTCACATGGCCACGCGTATATAGACTCTGCCAGGGAAGTCCTACTCACTGCATTCTCATGCCATTACTGTCGTTGACGAAATTGAAAGGACGAAAAACGAATGTGCGTCGTTTTAACCCGGTTGGTGGACATGGAGAGTCCACCTAGTGGAGTTGGAAAACCCTGATTCAAAACCAATGGTGCACATGGGCTCCAGTAACCTGAAGGGGCAATTATCGTGTGAATCTATTGTTGGTCACCGGCTACCATGGGACTGTATCTCCTGACGTTGCTCCACTACCTTGTGGATCAGACCTTTAGATCGAATGCTCCAGGTGCGGCCCTCTAAGAAAATCACTTACTTCGGTTTGGGCACCCGGACAGTATCACATCCCACGCACAAATCAAGTGACTTCGGTAGCGCATATGTATTTGGTGCCCCCCTTGTACCAATATCTATGTGTTAAATAAATATTACTTATGAGTAAATAGTATTTTATTGCAGAATATCTTACCCATATTTCGCTGACCATTTTATTATTTTTATCCGTTCGGTTATTTTGTCCCTGTCTGTACTAATTATGGACCGTTTTTATGGTGGTTTATTGTGATGTTTGAATGAACTAATGATACCTTTGTACTTGTTGAATGCTCGATTTCGAATTCCAAATACAATACATTCGTTTGTGCTTGGTTCTTACTTCTTAATTCAATTTCGTTATTTCTGGGACTCTTATTTCGTACTATAATTCAAATAATTCGAAACATTATATTTATTCACCTTCAGGTTTTTAGCCTAGACTTGTTATTATTTACTGTAGAACGATAGAGACTTACAGAAACTAAGACAGTTTTCTAACTTTCACTGACTTGGGGTCCTTTACTCAAACGAATCTGACAAACCCCTCGATAGTAAGTAACACTAAACTGCTAACACCACATTCCTGTAAAACCATTAATTTTGTTAAAGAGTTTATGAAAAAGGCTTACAGTTTACTATTCAATTGTTGTCGGTTTTTTTCTCTCGTTTATCTGAGTTAATTGAATTAGAAGAATATTTTTGAGATAGTGAAGAAGATTTGTAGCTCAGGTGGATGATCTTGATGAAGTATTGTTCTTTGAACTGGATGGTTTAGTCATCATTCTTCTGAAAGACGATGAAAACTCCACGACTAAACCATCTAGTTCAGAGAACAAAAGCCCATCAAAAAAGGAATATTTTTCGTATAATTGTTCTCTCTCTCTCTCTCTCTCTCTCTCTCTCTCTTATATATATATATATATATATATATATATATATATATATATATATATATATATATATATATCAGTCAGCTACAACGTAGGACCAGGCATATATATGCATCGGTCCAGGTTGCCATACCTCATTAGCACAGCAAGATGAACACCGGATTCATAGGAGTGGTTATGTCAAAGGTGGTAATATATAGTAGAAAGATTGCATATAAGGATACAGTACAGGAAGAAAGAATTAGTTCGTAGAAAGAAAGATATGAAGTGCTTTTAATCTCTTAGTTTAAGGGAAGACAGGGAGTGTATACACTGACGCCATTGTGATCGATTCTCAACCATGTCACCAAGAGTCTCCAACCATTGGTTACCATAGTCACGCGGACCCCAACCAAGTAGTCTGCATCTACCAACATGGCTCAGACTACAAGTTAATGTCTTTAAGCACTGATGCCACGTTTTGGTTTGGCCGCCCCTAATTCTCTTCCAACCATCTCTAACACCCGTTAGCATTGCACGACGTGGTAATCGGTGTTCAGGCATACGTAACACGTGGCTCAACCATATATATATATATATATATATATATATATATATATAAGATAAAGATAATTCTCTATATTTAATTGTTTATTTTTATATGTTGTTGTTTTCCCTGCCTATTTTAGCTTTGAAAAACATATGCAAGAAGTTCATAATCAAGGTGGTGGGAATCTATAACACACTTCATACTTCAATTATTACTTTCTTTTTTCTTATAACCTTCAAGTGTAACACTATTCTGTGAATATAAAGCCAATATAAACAATGTGGTTATATTTATTATGTGATATTGAGTTCCTATTTGTTTTTTTTGTTTTTTTAAATGAAAAATGTTCACATGTTTTGTGTGTGCCTGTGTATATTGAAGGAGGGGGAAGGCTTTACAAAGAAAATTGATTTTGCATTAGAATTGTACTTTATTTGATAAAACTGTTTTGTTAAAAATAAAACTGACTTACACTTGATTTTTTTCTGGGTATACAAGATTCTTTTTAAGGGGAAAATAACAAAAATCAATTGCCTTTTATTATATTGTTAAAAGTAAATTATTTCAAAAGAAAATATATTTATAGTAGTCATATTGGAACTTGGTCGATAGCAGTCGATCTGTACTAAGAAGGACTTGACACACATGGCATCGATCACCACCCAGTGATCAATCAATTGTGATTACATCTCAGTTCTACAGGAGGTCGGTCGCGGCCCGGATAGCTCAGTGGTAACGTCTCTGATTGTGAAGCTGGGTGACAGGATCAAATCCGCCAGGGAGCACCAGTTCCCTCAAGATCACAGGTACACCTTGCTGACGAATTCCAAGTAGCACGAAACCCGGGTCCAGGGTTTCCTGTTGACTACTTCCAATCATCATCTAGTCTCAAAATAGTGCACGCAATGTCGAGTCACCTAGACTAGTGGCCACATTGCAACTTGGTCGATAGTATTTGATCTGCACTAAGAAGGACTTGACACACATGACACTGATCAAAACCCAGTGATCAATCAATTGTGATAGATTTATAGTGTTACGTTGTCAGGCGCCCTTAAATGTTTGGGCTACCTGTTCCTGCCATCTGGATATTTCAACAAATTATCTTTTTGCTTGTTTGTTTTAACACATCATTATGTTTATTAATCGCATAACCTATTCAGGTGCGTTTGTGAAAAGTTCACAACATTTCGCTGTACAAGTTACAAAAAAGCTCAATCAGAGACATCATGCTGGCAATATGCGTCTGAAAAAATATACACTAATCAGATGTCAATTCCTAAACTGCTAATATATAACTGGCAACCACCCAGTATTTATCGTAAGGGTCGATCATGAAATAAGAAATGGAAACTTGCTGAGATACTTTGCACTGAGAATTCTATATTGTACCAAGATTATAATATTGAATAAAGCCAATAATAATAACTTTTGCATCTTAAGGAACTAATCAGAGACAACCCAACAATCTACTTGAATTTACAAGTGTTGAAATAGTTAATTTTTATTACTATTCCTAAATGTTTTTTATGGTACTAATTGGGGATCATGATCGAAATCCAATAAAAATAAAACATGGTGTCACCATTTATATCTAATTATCAATCTTCATGTTTATACTAGTTCAGTGAGTCACAATTATATAGCTTGTTTGAATGAATATAATTTATATAAAGTAAATAATTAACCAAATAGTAATTTAGCTATTTGTGATGGCTTAATTTATAAAATTATGTCAATTTTGTAGAATTCAAACAGGAATTCGAACTCAAGGTTTGTGAACTAGAGGTAGAATAATTTGAAACTAGCGACATGTATCTCAAAGTACTAGTACTCTTAGGAAGACGAAATAATAAATATCGTGAATAACACAAATAATACTACTGATAGTAATAATAATAACCGATGAGAATTTAATCAAAATTGTTATGAGAGTGATATACTGACATCTGTTTCTTCCTGAGCACATAAGTTCGATTTAAGTATCCATTGACATCTGCTGTCGGATATTTTTTTACTGTAGTCTCAGGCTTTTTGGAACGTGTTTGAAGATACTGGAATACATTATTCTGTGTATGTGCTTCAACGTACATTTGTAAATTGATGTGGTAGGAAATAGTAAGGAAAGGAAACTTATCGATTTGAGTTCATCTCATACAAGGTAATAAGTCTTCTGGCTGAATGAATAATCTTTAGTGCATCGTTTATTTTGAGTTTGATTAATGCAATAATTTTAACCCTTTCGAAGTCAGGTCATAGTTAATAAACTGTATTTTAGTTATATCGCACTTCAAGGGTTCGTTCTGTCTCGGCGTACTTATCCATGCATTTCTTCGGATATCTATTGTCATATGATGTCGCAAATGGTCGAACGTATACAATATTTTTCTCGTGTTTTCAATTATCACTCATAGTGTGGGTACTTTTCACTGTTTCTCAACATTAAGCCACTAGAAAGACCAGGTTTCCAAGTTCTTAATAACAAGTGGTTGTTATTACGTGTACAGATAACCGGAATAACATGTATTCGAACTCATTTTTTGTAATGATACCTACTATCAATCGACTGGTTATTCCCACTTTTAGTTTGCTTATCCTATTTTGACCCAAAAGCATGTTTATTACTATGTATACAGAGTTGTTTCACCATAAATTACACTTCCTTAATATCAAGCTTCTTCCATCGCTTGGTGGATTGTTGTTCAAGTGTTGTATATCAATTGTCCGATCTATCAAGTTCGTATAGATCCAGTTTCGTATCAGAATATAACAATCTTTCGCAATCAAGAATAACTGTAGGACAAAACTTAAATATTTTAAATTAATCATTATATGGCCAAGTGAATTAAAAAGATCATGAAGAATATATTTCACTAAACAATACGAATTGGCTATTACTCGAATTAGTTTATATTACATTGAGCAGTATAAAGATGATACCTAGCTAATGGCTAGAAGAAACCCTTATTTGACCAAAAGATATTATTTTCTATACGCTGTTAAAATGTGAAGACGGTTAGATGATTTATACTGATTGATCTGACAACAGAACAAAGTATTCAGTAGAATTACTTAGACCATGTGGCAGCATTAATTAAAGTCTGAAGTAGAGAAACTTCTATCGCCAAAACAAGATGAATTCATTATATTCTCGGCTTAATCAATATATTTGCAACCGGAAACAAATTAATATGTGTATCAACATGTTTCTAAAATAGTATGCCTAAAATACTGTAAGTTATTTAAAAGTATAATTGCTAGGCTCTCGATGAGTAGTGGATATCTGTAGAGTATTCAAGACAATGAGTTAACAACTAACGCTAATTTTGCTTCGTTTTTTAAAGGCGACTGCTATCAAATCATTCTAGCCTAGGCTATTTATACGGAAGGAATGTGTGACAAGCCATGTTAATTAATTCTCTAGTCGTTTATTACTTTCATTAAGATTATGTATTGTGCAGTCGTTCACGTTTGATGATGATAACAAAACCGCCTATTTGAAAGCCTAGACTAGCTACCTGAATGTAAAGAAGGATTTATTGACGACAATTGAACCGAAAAGATATATACACTCATTCACAATTATATATAATTTTCCCTTAAAAAACAAAGCCAAATCTCCAATCGATATCGTGTCATTTCTTACAAAATGAAACCAAGTCTTAGTCAGTGGTGTCCACATTGAGCCAATTAGATTTAGGCCGAAAGATAAGTATGATATTTTGGGTTTAGCTGTCAGAATTGAGATGGAGCTAAATCATTCGTAATTATTGATAATTATACTCTCATCTTCTCTACTTTATATCACTAATTTCTTTGACACATGAATGTGTCTATTTTAAATATACTTAATCACGTATTTGTGTCCTATGTAAATTCTTGGTTCCGTTTTTGGTATTCAGTATTCAATAACTAGAGGCTGTCAAACGTTAGTCTATTATAAACGGTCTTACTCAATGGAATTTTAATCTGTTTACGGTTAATGCAAAGCTTTAAAATAGAAAGAATTTGTTTCATTCGATAAATATTGGTATTTACATTCTTTTTAGATCTATACAATGATAAAGCTCTATGAGATAAAAGCAATCATTTACTGTATTTCAAATGTACAATGCTAAAATGGTAAATATGTATATACGATGGAAAGTAGGACTTAACTGTCCTGTTTACTTTGAGGAAGTTGAAAACCTCTCGCAACTAAATAGATTTCTGATGACTCTTTTCGACTAGCTTCCGGTTTAATAAAACGCGTAAATGAAGAACACTTTGAATTTAATGTATAAAACTGTGAAACTGTTTGTTTAAATTCTTCAGCTTCCGCACTTTCAAATAATTTAATCACGAAACTGGCCCCTTCTTTTGAAACACTGATTGCTACCTAGAAATAAAAGTTTCCGAACAAGAGATCAACATCCTTTTTGGATATCTTAAATATGCATCTTAGTGACGGTTTTTTTGTAATTACAAATTACGACACATTTAAGTACAATAGACGAATCGATTTCCAAACCAGTAGGGACAGTAGTAAACACTAAACTATCAAATAAGTGACGTGTTTTTCATTCTGGGGAATCATAAAAAGTTTACAACTACGTATTATCTTCAGTCTGTAAGTAGTTAATAATGGACATTCGTAGAAAAAACCGGATCATTTCCGTTAGTTGAGATGCACTAAGTTAATGAACGACATGCAAAACAACTAGTAGAGAGTTGAACTTTTTCTGTACTACTGGAGTAACATTTATACTATATCAAAACCTAAGGGAAGATCCATTACATGCTAGCTCACCACCTTATTTTATACAGTAATATTAGACATTTAAACTGACTTAGCCATGTTTACCATTGCAGGCGAGAATAGTTGTTTCATCACTTCAATAACACAGAAATAAAACTACTAGGTGTAATGCAGTTTCAAGCAACAAGTTATACAATCAGCATAGCCTGTTATTCAGATTGTAATAATAAATGGGTCATAAGTCAAACAACAATACACTAAGATTATTCTCAAAGTTCAAACTCGATGTCAGTTATGGACTAAAAATAACTTTCCTATTCTAAATCGTTATACACACATAACCTTAGGTTCATACTAGTTGTGTGAACGCCGACAGTAACGTGATATGCGAAATCCCTTTATGTATAAATGAAAGCCAAAAATACCCATCTTAATCATTGGTACCATCTTGATGTTAGTCTGGTTATAAAATGTTGAGGTTACAACGCGTTGGTGAGAGAGGTTTTTACCTTATGATTGTGAAATCTAGTCCCTTGATATTGAGTTTGTTCTGTGACTTTACATTCGATGACCGTTTTCTCCTTAGCATTGGTGACGAAACTATATTACTGATACTGAGGCTTGTGTATGTATGTTCGAGCACTTTGATTATCATTCAATTAGTGTCGCCATCTTGACACACTGGCACCAATGGGGTTGACATGTTTTATAAATGTCACCCCACGGGCTAGCACACATTATCAATTGCCGATGCTATTCTTCATTTTTAGACCGAACCCTGATCCCATCCCTTATTTCTTCACGATGTTATCTGTTTTTAATTTATATGGCATATTCTATTCTTGGTTTCTGGATGTACTAAATTATATATGTTAAATAAAATAAATAAATTATTACATAACACAACGATAATAAACTACATTCTGATAAACTAACTTACTCGTAAAATATTATACGCTAATGTCATCATAGCTGGTATATCGATTTCACGCATTCCTGACACATTTGGAGCTATGTCACTGAGGACAATATCAACACCCGGCAGTGATTTCTGTCTCTCGGATTGTAACGGTTTACGGCCATTATCATTATTGTTAAAATGATTGAAAATTGATTGATTAATTAAATTTATACATTCAGACCAATTATTTAAATCAACACCACAATATGTAATAACACCAGGCAATGGTGCGAAGTTTAACAAATCAAGACCAATTACTAAACCTTTATTTTGATTATTTGAAGCTTTGAAATTATTATTACAATTGGTTAAAGATGAAGCTACTTGACACCATGATCCTGGTGCAGCACCACAATCAACAACAATATCACCAGGTTTAAAAATTCCACCGGAAATTTTATCATTTAATTGCAATAATTTGAATGCGCTACGACATCTATAACTTTCAAGATGAGCACGTTTTACGTAAGGATCTGAACGTTGACGTGCAATCCATCTCTACTCAAAATAAAGGATATATATATAGATAGATTCGATAAAGGTAACTGAATTCATTAGAAACATATCTACATCTTATTTTCTGTGATAATTCCTAGTAAATGCATAACAATAGTATGTATGGGAAATGCGTTTTGATTAATAATGTATACTTCAATTCTGGGATTAAAATGAGTGATTTTATTTAAGTAATTAAAATGCTAAAGTGGTGTACAATATAAGTCCCCTTATACAACACATTGATGTTCAATGAACTCAGTAACTGAATGGAATTGTGCCTGCTGTAATATCCAAAGGATCCTGAGTTCTATCAACATGTAGAATATGGTTCTGAAGTACATTCCATTCTCGATAATTGAATGTAACGAGCATATCTTGTCATAAATTGATATCAAAACTGTCAAAAATAACTAAATAGCTCAAACAAAAGTGATAAGAAATATTGAACAAATATTCATCTCACAGGATCTGTACCAACTTTTTAATTACAAGTATCTTCAATGTATTCAAATCGTTTTTATGCAGTGTATACAAAAAAGATACGATTTTGTTTGGTACTATTCAATGATACTATCGAGTTATAAATAAAAACTTTCGTTTAATCACTAGATAAAATGATAAAAACATTCCCGGTAGAGATTATTGACACATACATAAAACTAATTTACAATAAACTAACTTGAGAGCTCCCATCATTTGAACGAATAGTAATGATTAAACAAGATAATGCTTGATTCGTTAAGCAATATGGCAAACTCCTTGAATTCGACCAAAAGAGTGAGTGCTAAATAAACAAATACAAGACTGATAGATTAGTGTTCCATTATAAATGATAGATGGTTTGTGAAGATTGTTGAATTTTATAGTTTACATCACGCATCGACCTTAGTTACAGAATCATTGGAAACCAAGGAACAATGGATAGTTCCTACATCCTAGTTTGAAACTCCTCGGCAGTGCATAACCACGAACTACTCTCGGAAGAACCTACAACCTTCAGGTCTCTCAACGAAATGTATTTCCCACGGTTCTAGTGGGAAGCCATGACCGGCAGATTGCAACTATAACGGGTATTTGGGAGTTACACATTAATAGCAAATGGAAAATGGTTACGCAATGTCGCGAACTGACTGAAGTCATAGACGTAAACCAATGAGTGTCGACTCAGTGATCTAAGGGTGCTCCCAAATGCCCTGGTACAGCCGAGAGTGGAGAAATTCAGTTCGCCCTTTCGAAATGCTCTCACATGGCCACGCGTATATAGACTCTGCCAGGGAAGTCCTACTCACTGCATTCTCATGCCATTACTGTCGTTGACGAAATTGAAAGGACGAAAAACGAATGTGCGTCGTTTTAACCCGGTTGGTGGACATGGAGAGTCCACCTAGTGGAGTTGGAAAACCCTGATTCCAAACCAATGGTGAACATGAGCTCCAGGATCCTGAGGAAACAAATGGCGTATGAACCTAATGTCGGTCACTGGCTACCATAGGACTGCATCTCCTGACGTTGCTCCACTACCTTGTGGATTATACCTTTAGGTCGAAGGCTCCGGGTGTGGCCTCCTAAGAAAACCACTTGATCCGGTCTAGGCAACCGTGCATTATCACAGCCCACGCAAAAATTAAGTGACTTGGGTAGCGCATATGTATTCGGTACTCCTTTGTACCAATATTTATGTGATCAAATAAATTAATAAAATAAGATCTAACGGTTAGGTGTTTGGCATGAGAGTCCCTGATGGGGTTGTAAATGCGGATTGCTGAGGAGTTTTATAATAAGAGGAAACAGCTGTTCAGTGCTTCCGGATTTTCGTTAGTTCTGTAACCAAGATCAGTTCGTCAAGTAAACTATATGATTTCTTATAATTTAATTTTGATAAATAAGCCATAAACGACCAATTTCATTATCAAAATTGAATTTATAACAACAGGTGTAAGTCATGTACCTGCGCAAAGTACAACACTTACGTTATGATAGGAGCTGTCCGAGATCTGAGACTGATACACAAATTGCTGTGCGCTAACCCCAAAAAATTGACTACTTAAGAGAGAAGACAACAATGAAAGAGAAAGTCTATTGGGCCGTTGAACAACATGCATAAATACTTATTTATATAAACATATTTCGACCCCCTAAAAATGAATCAATCTCTTAGTCAATGATATGCATTTGTCATTTAAGGCATTTCTGATTGTCATCGAGTGATGATGGCTATTTGTACTTTTTGAAACCTGAATAATATTTAACACTATTTACAATTGCTACTAACATTTCTGACTCTTTCAAGGAATAAGATGTTTTTAAAACAAAGGCACAAAAGCTTTGTCCATGTGGAATATACATGGAGATCGTCCAAACTTATATTCCATTAGAAGAACTTTAGTCGCTCTTGTTAAATTTTCACGCTACATAGTGGAAAGTCATTAGTTGTTAACAAACTAAGCCAAGTGTACATCCTATATAAAGTATCCTGTCCAGTAACTAATTTGTCTGACAGTGATACATTTTTAAGTGGAAAAAATACACGTAGAATCAATGTTTTCGGATAATGACCACCATTTCTGTTTCATAACTTTTAATAGATGATAAATCAACTTTAATGAATTTTTGGTGATTTATTATCATTATTATTACAGAAGGCCCTGGGTCCGAATCCCGCGAGCGGGATCGTGGATGCGCACCGCTGAGGAGTCCCACAATAGGACGAAACGGCCGTCCAGTACTTCCAGGTTTCCAAGGGTGGTCTAACATCAATCGGTTCATGATGTCAATCAAAAACTTAATAATCTCCACAACCCCTATACTAGTATTTATTATCAGTCTGAAAATCCCTTTGATTTGATTTATATAATGGAAATGACATTTATCTTAGTTTTTTGCGCCAACAACTCGATAAGATCTGGTTCCATATTTGGACTATTCATTTGTATATGGAGTCACAAGCATAAATGGAATTAAGTGAATTAAATCGTTTTAGTAGAAACAAAAACGAATATTTCCTCAATTTATTGCAGCTGAACAACTACATTTCAATCGATTGTTGTGAAAATGAATGAAATATATTTATCATACACTATAGCAACAATTAATTTGAATGTCATATTAGACTCTAAGAATATATGGAATTTCAGAGCGTCAGTGACTTATAATTTTTTAGAGATTGTCAAAACGTAAAAGCTTTGTTTGTTCTATCTGTTGAAAATGCTAACATCACATATCCATACAAGGGGAAAACCAAGGTCCTCAAATTCAAAGCAGAGAACAACAATCCAATCACTCTTGATGGAGAAACTCTGGAAGATGTAGAATCCTTCACATACCTGGGAAGCATAATCGATGAACAAGGAGGTTCAGATGCAGACGTAAAGGCAAGGATTGGCAAAGCAAGGACAGTATTCCTACAATTGAAGAACATATGGAACTCAAAACAACTTTCAACCAATATCAAAGTGAGAATCTTCAATACCAACGTCAAGGCAGTTTTACTGTATGGAGCTGAAACTTGGAGAACTACAACAACCATCATCAAGAAGGTGCAAGTATCTATAAATAGCTGTCTACGCAAGATACTAAACATCCATTGGCCGGATACCATCAGCAACAGCCTTCTCTAGGAGAGAACAAACCAGCTTCCAGTTGAAGAGGAAATTAGGAAAAGACGATGGAAATGGACAGGACATACAGTACGCAAATCGTCAAACTGCATTACGAGACAATCCCTAACTTGGAATCCTGAAGGAAGACGGAAAAGAGGAGGGCCAAAGAACACATTACGTCGGATAATAGAAGCAGATATGGAAAGGATGAATAACAACTAGGAGGAGCTGGAAAGGATTACCCAGGACAGGGTTGGACGGTGAATGCTAGTGAGTGGCCTATATTCCTTCACGAGAAGTAACAGGCGTAAGTAAGTAACCACATATCCATGTGTGTAAACAGTTTCTACCTAATAGGCACTGAATTAAAAATAATTCGGTTATTTTGAGATCTGAATAAGACAGATGTATTAGGACTTAGAAAGATTTTTATTTACTTTATTCCGTACTTACATCACCAAACCAACTATCAATAGATGACAAATAATCTTACCAAGATGTAAAGAATGATTATGTTCTCAATTTATGACTAACTACACTTGAGTGGATCGACAGTAGTTCCTTTGAGAAGCTATGATCTGTTGAATCAATTGGCTTGGAAAAGAACTATATACATACAAAGAATAATGAACAATCGTGACTCTGTCTTTCAAAATCGATTGAATTTTAGGGTGGTGATAACTAGGTTTCGACTCACTAATTGAGTAATACTGCAGTATACACAATAATTAATGGTCTTGGGTTAGATTTTTGCGCATTGTTGAAGAGTCTCCTATAGTAGGAAGACATGAAGTGACCAAAGATCCTTGAAATCAATTGTTCTCTAGCTGATATCCGCTTGTGATAAAAAACTATTGTTTTAATTGAATTTATACTACTTTGTTCACACACACATAAATTGTCATCTACACTGTTATTTTAAGTAATACCTGCGGTGTATCCTTTGATCAGTAGACAACGGTCGCTAAATGATGTCACCAAACAATGAAGGTTCATAAATCTAGAAAAGTATGGGCTCTTTAGAATATAAAGATATAGATCGAGCAATGAAAATAACTAACTAAACAAACAATAACAGAAAACAACACCTCATACAATTATCTATAAGGTTAAATCATCATCATTAAAATGAAATCAAGAAACTAAGATATCACTAAGATAGTATATTTCATTATATTAATTAGATAATAGAATATAGATATATACAAAATATCACACTGATTAATAATGTACTATTTAGATAGTTTTATTGTATCCAAAAGATTATGTGTTTCATACAACAAATGTATGGTCTATATAAAATTCATTACTTTTACCAATAAGATAAGATGTTATTGGTGCAAAATTGGATATATCCCAATGAAAAGAATAAGCATATTGACGGAATACTAAAATGATAAACATTAAAACAACTAAATACAATAAAAATGTTCTGATTAAATGAATCATTCCCGGATTACTAGAATATAATATATTATATGTAAAATTTGATAGATTCATTAATGTATAAAAGTCTGGTGGAGGCCATAACCATAAACCACGTTTATTTGCATCACGTATAATATGACTTATAAATGGAATAAATATGAAACACCAAAATATAGTGAAAACTCTATTGAATTTTAAACATATAGGATAAGATATGAAAAATAAACCAATAATTAAAAGAGTATAAATAAGTAAATATAAACCAGCCCAATGTAAAAATGGTCTACCAGGAAGTTGACGTGCAAGCTGAAAAGAAGTATATATAGAAAGTATTAAAAGAGAAACTGTTATAATTTTAGTTTGATTATAGAAATATAAGAATAGTGATTGATATAATCAAACATTTCATGTCTATTACTCAGTGATTCTGCCGGTTTTTAATGTGTTGTACAAGAAGGTAGCGATAGAATATGTCTATGGCAATCAGTGTCAAAGAAATGAAATTCAAATTTGTTAATCAAATACACATTTAACTATTGGTCATTGAGTCATGAATCTAATGATAGGGGGGAGGAGGCTAATGATAATATCTGGGTACCTCAATCGAATTATGTCTAGCATAGTCCTAAAATGAGACCAGTGATTGAATCACCGTACAAGTGAAAAAAGAATGGCCACGGTGTTCTATGAATGGGCAGAAACATGACACTTGATGATATGATGTAACCTGGAACTTAATAGCCGTAATTACTAAGTCAACTCTCTATTGAACAAGTAAGTGGTTGTCTTGTCTTAGTAGCTAAGTGGGTAACCAGTTGACGTTTGAAACGAGAGGTGCTGGGTCTGAGTCCCAGTGTGAAGATCAACATTATGATGGTGGTTTATCCAGATGACGATTCTCACGTGAAACAGAACGTACATCTTAGATTTTACTACTAGTCACAACTCATGTATTCTAATAAAACATTGTATTTACATTTCTATTCATTCATTCACTTGTGTACAGCGATACCTTATTCCTGTTAACTACGCAGATCGATGCATTTCAAAGTAAAGATATATAAGTTTTTGAAAAAAAAACCTAGTAATACGCACCATATTTACTTAAGTACCTTATAAATAACCGTTAGCAAGGCTCGATAACAGAAAAACAAAATGTAATGAGCAGCCACATGAAACCAAAAATGTCATTTAAACGTGACAATACGACACGTACTTCAATGCTTGTACTTCTTGAAGCTATAAAATGATCGATATCCGGTAGTATTGCACCGAATGCTGCCCAAAAACATGACTCAACAGTCATAATTATATTTTTTCGGTAACCTGTGGTATATAAATCTAGTTTACCATTTATACTAATCAAACAACATAGCCAAAACATTGAACCAGTTAATCCATGGGTAAGAGTTTCCAAAAACAAATGTATATGAGAACCTGAGTTGACTGATTTGCATAATCTAAATCGTAATTAGATCAATGCATAATTACTACAAGGATGAACATACATTTCAAGTAACCATAATGAAAGGGAACCAGTCAGGATTAGGAATACTTCATAATTTATTTCAATAATCTAAAAAGAATCTGTATGAGGACGTAAAACTAATATTTTGGTTTACGAAAAAAACGGAGTGTTACAAAAATTACGATTTATTGTTCATGATTATATACAAAGTTTTTGATAATAGTCTGTTTATCCAGAGTTCCGTGAAGCATCCTCGTCACCATCATTTTCACCTTGAAATCTAACTAACTCTTGTTCAGCATCGTCAAACGCTCGATTTGAAGGATCAACTTCTTCATCATACTGTAAACATTGATCAATTTGAACTAGTAAGTCTGTTATAGTATCTTCTTTATCCCTGTTTAATGGGACAAAATGAACTACACTGTAACGCTCAATCAAATCAGCTAGTGCATGAGTAAGTTTATTAAATGGGGCTTCCTTTTCGTGATGTTCCCCATCGTCTTCTTCATCAAATACTTGATCCAGATCAAAAAAGTAATCCATATCAGGATTTAGATAACGAGCCATGACATATTTTTGTTTTTGTTCAGATAACAAATCAAGTTTAGACATTACGTTTATATGAGCAGTTGATAAGGATACCATAGCAGAGAGAGCAGACAATACACCAGCTAGAAAATGTGATGAATCTACGAGAAATCTAGCATCCAAAATAAATATAGTAACAAAACGAAAATCCCATTTTCTTTGCATATATTCAATTATTCGTGGCATAATCGGTAGGTGTGAGTATAATTCAATTTGACCAGGACAATCAAATAATAAATAGTCTCCATCTATATCACCAAGTGCAGTATCCAACCAGTTCAAATTTTGTTGAAGATATTCTAAGCAGAAAATAAGTCCACCGTTTGGACCTAAACGTATAGCCTCATCTTCCATTACATCATCTAACTAAAATTATCCTAGAAAAATTCAGATTAAATAACTTACATGAATAAGGTCTCGTATATCCGCTAGTGGAGTATATTCAAAAAACTCCGCTGCAGGGTCCAAATTGACCACATCAACTTTCCTCCTCAATGTTTCACAATGAGCTTGCATTGTACTACAATAAGTTGATTTCCCACAACCAGCTGGCCCTATCACCAGCTGGGCAAATCTAGGCATTATCTTGAATAAATATGCCACGAGAAACCAATATGCCCTAGCAAGAAATAAGAATCATTTTCAAATAAGGCAAAAAAGTGAGACTTAAGTGAACTAACTTGGAAAATAAAATCAGACTTTAAAGAATATACATAAAAACAATAATTAGCTTTTTATTTACGATTTTTTGTCTGATTTCGACATAGATACGAAATCTCCCTGTGCACAAGTCCAACTGGCAGCGAGAGTGAGAAGGAAGTTTATAGACTAAACGGAATCTGGAACGTACTCACACTATATATATATATATATATATATATATATATATATATATATATATATATATATATATATATATATATAGATTAGATTAGATTAAGCCACCAACGGCGTACGTCTCCTTCCCTAGAAATGCAAGCTATTTCTTGACCATTCGCTTGCACCTATTGTTGGATCAATTTTTAATTAGCCCAATGTACCACGTTGGTTTTAATTTTATGGACACGTGTGTCATATAGCAATTTTACATCACTATTGGGGATAATTGCACTCCTTTATCCTTTAGATTTTAGTTTTTCAATTTCTGTGATGTGAAGTGTAGAACTAGATGTAGTACACGTTTTTTACTACATTAGATGTAACAAGATTGCTTAATTCATTATACAACTTTACGGAACACATTTCGCAAAACAGTTTGTGCAAACTAAAATCATGACTGGTACATCACATTGATTGACGATTCATTATTTGTTTACCTACGTGTTCCCTATTAAACTGTTAATGTGGATATTGGAGTGGAGTAGTATGTTGGTGACTAAAGTCCTTTTTAATTTGACTGATGGATTGTAGGTTCAAGTTCCGACATTCCAAGTTCGATTCGATAGCTGCATAGTATCGATACCCATAACTATATGGCTCAGTTAATGCACATAAACTTGAACATGATAAGTCATATTACCATGATTTATAATAAGTGTAATAATATAAAAACATGGTGGACTTGAAGGGACATAGTATTACGGGGAACATTTTTGCTTTAAAAATCGAGTGATTTCTCAAAAAAATATATTAGAAAGACTGAATGATTACTACTAATTACCCATAGGGTTTGTTTTCTTACATGTTAAACCTACTGATTGCAAACTCATGCTTATTAACTATTCTGGAGAAAATACGCCTGGGAATTTGTGGGATATATTGAAGCCAATAGAAATAAGTGGGCGCATCAAATTTGTATTTTATGTACACTGCCTTCCATGTATAATCATAACTACAAGCTAATAACTAGCAAAAGAATTTGACCAGCCACAGGTAGCAACAAACCATGTTTTTTTAATCCTAAGCAAGACTTGATATGACGCAATTATGTTACTTAATTTGGGTTGCAAGATAAATGCTCGACTCAAAGTTGTCAACTTCATTTTACTTAAACAGTAGGTAATAAGGTAAAACTTATCAAGTAAATTTATTCAATATAAAGCAAACACAATGACTCTTTAGAGAAGCCATGGAATGCTGAACATGTGAAAGAATTAATATTTTTGATAGCCAATAACCCATTACATATCATTTCTTTTTCTATTAGATCACTTTTTAGCACCAAATATCAACAAGTAGCCTTCACAACGGTATAAAATTATTGTACGATAACTACTCATATTTCCTAAATTTTACATACTATTAATTAAGTAATCAACATCTTTGTGATGAGCTAATGTAAATAATCTGACTCCTTTACAATTGCTTCTTGATCTCACGTTGCAGTCTTGCATCTATAGAATTGTCTAGCGGGGGTAGTCTAGCCAGTCAGCTGCACAAACTCTAATGAGTTTGACAGAAAATTGAAGGTGAATATTTCTTGAGTATAAATGAATGCTTATATTATAGAGTAGTGAAGTTGTTTGACCCAGGAACTATCACAATACGGCGCGGAAGATTTTTTGTTTAAAATATGAAAATTATAGAATTAAAATGTGGAAGAAACAAAAGAAAAGAGTCAAAAGTAAGTAAATTTTTTGCCCAAACAATATAAATAAAGTTTTAGAATAACCGATAAACGGTATTAAAGGGTAAAATGGGTGGAGATAGGCTAATGATGATGATAATATGAATAAAAGTAGTAATAATAAGTTTCAACCAATGCGTCAGACCGCGGAAAAGAAAATACAGGCAGAACTATTCCAGGTGAGGGACAATAAACCATGGTTAAGCACACGGTTGTCAAGCTCCTCGCCACAGCTGTACAATAAGGGGGTTATGATCACATAGGCTAGGAAAGGAAAATGTTACCTTATTTGGGGGTTCGCTCTCTGAAGTATGATTTTTCGAGGGATATCTCTTGAAGTTCACTGGTAGGGTTCAAATAGAATTCCCTTATTGAGGCAACTTAGATTACTTTGTACAATTTATATCACTATAGATTATCTTTTCCTCCCATAACCTAGCGAGTAAAATCACAGGTGGCAAAGTCGGTCTTCATAGAGTTTATTCCTTAATCATATGACCGACTTTGTTGTACCACGCCGTACTTGTTCCGAGATATTCATATCCTTTTTGAGCAGAAGGGGTGAGATAATGTTGTGAGTGTCCAGATGTAGGGAGATATGTCTCGGATATTGCCGGGAAAAGTTCAGGAGTCAACAAACTAAATTGCCTTTGGACGAAGTGTTCAGTAGCGTAGGCTTAGGCTGATAGTTGTCACTAGGGTCAAGGCTTTCTGTTAACAGACCTAGATCGCGCCCCATTAGGATTCTAGAGTCCGTGACCGCGGAGAAAGCGGTCGGTTTGATATTCCTCAAAAGCTTGAAATAGCATGGTTAGATATATATGGAGAAGAAATGTCAAACAGTATATGTGCCCATTTTTCTAGAAACACAATATCAATTTGCTACTTTTGTAATTTGCTTTCACTCCTGATGGCTGTCTACAGTTTAGTATCGTACGCGTAGATAAGGACTAGTGAACCGAAGTTTTCCAGATCGTTGACCAATACAAGAAACAACAGAGCGTTTAGTATGGCTGCTTATGAAACGCCAGATATAGACAATTTTTAGTTCGATCAGACCCTATTTATTTTGCTGCAGAATTTTCGGTTCTGTAAAAAGTTTTATAGCACAGAAGTTTATCCACTAACTATTTGTCCGATCTTAATCAATGGGATAGAGTGCGACACTGCATTGTATGCTTAAGTGAAGTCTGTAGGGCATATACGGGCACTTGTGGACAAAAGAAGACTTCAGATAACCCACACAGAAAGAATGTTTGTGTTAAACGGCCAGTCTGTGTTCCATGTAATAGCTTAAAGACGTTCATAGATGGTGGACAGTAGAAGATTCTGAACATTTTCTTAATACTATGGAGTGTTTGTCTGAGCAACCCAGTAACTGGTTGATCAAGGTCTCAGATTTCTCAACAAGAGCTGTTACGTCGTGTTTATAGTGCTTTTGACCACCGTTATTACAAGAGCACTAGTTTGAATTTATTTGTTTAATACATAATTTGACTGTTTGTCGAAGTGCGTGTATGAAACACCGACTGTTTCGACGTTGATGAAGGTTGGCGATTGCTACCCACAGTTCAGAATGTTCACTGATTCATAGTTCCGACTCTAAAAATAATTCGAAAAAGATTCCCCAGGTTTACTTTCGATCCCTTTACAAAACAATTGCGTGAGACTATAATTTATGGACGACCTTTCGGCTATACTAGACTAACCTTGAAAGTGTCCACCTACTAACTAGGGCTAAAGGAGGGTTATAAAGCAGTTTGAAGAAAAAAGGGTTATGATTTACAGTTGATGGTTAAGGTTAGGAATTACTTTTAATGTTTTCATCACGAACTGACATCAGCTATAGTGCCAAAACTCTACTCAGTCAAATGTGTGAATGAATTTGCGCCAAAATCTAAGACTTGTTATTGTAAATCTGATTGCTTTGTCCGTCAATTATAGTGCAGTACAAGACATTTATATGTTCATAAATGTCCGAACTCCCAATTTTGGGGGAAATTTGGCCAACTTTAACGAAATTTCAGGAAGCCGCTATAGTCAAATTTGGAGAAATGGCACAAAACCCACAAAATATCCCCAGACCTAAGAGAATTCCCCAATATTTCCCCAAAATTCCCCTTTAACCTCGTTCAAGGTCAGTTGCCTTTAAGGATTTCCCCGAAATCTCCCCCAAACATTGGTGATGGCCATTTGACTTCGGGAGTTTCCCCGAAATACCCCATAATTTCCCAAAACTTGGGAGCTCGGGTGCATTTATGAGTGCTTCAGTCAACGTTTATAAACTTCTATAAATGATTTTGCTTGTCCACTGCTAAGCTTCATAATATTAGAAAATAGTAAACTTGACCCAGTAATAACATGGAAGACAGGAGGGAGTGGTACAGATTAAAATGCACAATAACAGGAAACATCTCATCTTGCCTATATGTAACGTATAGCTTGAAAACCCGCAAGTTTAGAGTTCAGATTTCACATTTGTGTAGTAAGGACAGAAGGCCTACGGTCTTTGTTATTCTTTTTCTATTATGCATCTGTGTGTGTCCAGTCTTCTCTTGAAAGAGTCAACTGAACGTGCAGACACCACTGCTTCGAACAGCAGGTTCCAACCCAAGCTGCCAGTTCTGGGGAAATTTTGGAGTTTGCGTCTCATTTCCATAAAATTTCCCTAAAATTTGCCATAGCGGTTTCCTTAAAATGGACCAAATTTTCCACAAAGTTGGCAGCTTGGGAAGTATTGATGACTCGGTGTGAAAACCTGTATGCCACGGGTATTTTTTCGCTCTTGGCTTTTCTACTCGCTTGCTATGTCCTCTGAGATGTCTCAATCTGTTGGGAAGAAAATGAGAGAATAAGTTAGGTCCAAAATCATTTCTCAGTATCCTGTTCATCAAAATCAGATCTTCCCTTAATCCGCGATAGGGCGGAGTAAAGAGGTACAGCTTTTCAAGCCGCTCTTTGTATGGTGAACCCCGGAGTTCTGAAATCGCACAGATAACTGCCTTCTGTACTTCTTCTAGGATACCCGAGTCATCTTTTAAACAGAGGCTTGCAGCCTGAACGCAGTTATCAAGCCTAATTCTCATTAAGGATTTGTATATTGTGGTGAACATGGTAGTATCTAACTTAGTGAATGTCCGTTTTAAAGCCAGAGGGTTCGAAACCTCTTTAGCTGCGACCTCCCGGAAATGGGCCATCATCTTAATATCGTGACTCACCGTCACCCCTAGATCCTTATGAGACCAGACTACGGGTAATGACACTTCCCCCTATATTGTACCTAGTAACGTTCGAATCCCCGAAGTGCATGTAGAAACATATTGCCGAGTTTTTAGGCATCAGCCACTCTTAAGACCAGTTAATCATATTATTTAAGTCTGCCGAAAGAGCGTCTGTGCCTCCAGTTATTACTCGCCAGATCTTTACATCGTCAGCGTATAATAACATTGGAGACTGTACTATACTTGGAGGATCATTAACATACATTATAAAAAGTAAAAGACCTAGGACTTTGAGGTACTCCATTAAGTACTTGTCTCCAGATGGAGCACTTAGAATTTATTCTTACTTTTTTTCTACGACCTACTAGGAAATCTTTAATCCATTTTAAATGAGGTTCGGTAATACCAAGGTTTCCCATTTTCAACAGCAGTCTATTAGTTGGCACCTTGCCAAAAGCCTTACTGAAGTCTATGTAGACAACATCCCCTGGGTTTCCGTTGTCTAGCACCTTTATTAAAAACTACCTGCTATAAGGAGGCCTGTTGTACAAGATAGACTCTTTCTAAAACCATGTTGTTCTATGTTTAGCAAGTCACTGGTTTCCATAAATGCCATTATGGTCGATTTGACTATTCTTTCCAATGTTTTAACTACAACACTAGTGAGGCTTACGTGCCTGTAGTTCAGTGAAACTTGTCTTGGTCTTGTTTTATGTATTGGGATGACGATAGTGTTCTTCCAGTCCATAGGTAACACACCTTGCTCAAGTGACATGTTGAATATCACAGTCAGTGGGGCCGCGATATATTGTGCAATATGTCTCAAGATATTGTGGTGTAGTTCATCTAGTCCCGTTGACTTTTGCATGGTTAAGGTGCTAAGAGCCTTAAGCACATCGTTTTGATCAAAGTCCACGGTGTGCAGGTGGTTTGTTGGCTGTTTATTTTGGTCTGGTTCTTTGTCTAGAGGAGGTTTCTGAGTGAAAACTGCCCCAAAATAGTCAGCCATAGCCTCTGCTTTTTCCTGATCTTCCCCTATCATTTCACATTCACTTCCTACTTTAATTAGGTTGGGAATCCAATGATGCATCCTTATTCTGTAGTTTATGTACGAGAATATTCTCTTGGGCTGCTTGAGTGCAGATTGTGCCAGCTGCATTTCATATTTTCTTTGAGCTTCTCGAATTTTTGCTGTACACTTGTTTCTTACCGATCTGTAGCTTTCCATCGTACCTGCTGTGCCAAGGCGGATGGCAACATCCCAGCATTTCTTCTTTTGTCTTAGTAAACGTCGAATATCCCGCCTATCCAGGGATGTCCGTGCTTCTTTTTCTTTGGGACAGTCCAGGGTATGTATGGTTGTGTTACCCGATTGTATAACTGCCTGAATAAAGTCCATGCCTCTTGTACTGATGCCTATGAGTCGATTTCCCAGTTTTCAGCCGATGCTGCGGAGTTAATTGCCTACATCTCTGCCTTCCATATGTTGAGATGTGCCGGTGCAGCTATTTGACAGGCAATTTCAGCCATGAATTTGAATAAGATGACTGCATGTCAATTCTCTCAAATGGTGGGAGAAAAGCCATTTGACCAACGTCATCACCGTGTGTGAAGACTAAATCTAAAAGAGAAGGAGAGTTTCTTAAGTCGTATCTTGTGGGATCTCTAATGTGCTAATGCTAATCTATTCGAGGTTTCTAACAGTTTGCTGTCGGACGACGATATCGATGACCCTAATTCTAAGTTAACCCAGTTTATATATGGTGCATTAAAGTCGCCTACAACTAGGCTATTACCGTTGTTACACCAGGACTTAAGTTTACTTAGGATAAAATCATCTGCTACACATTCTGGACTGCGATATACTACAACCACTTCAATATCTTGCCGTCGGCATTTCAACTTACATCTCACCAGTTCACATATCCCTGAAACCTGTGCCACTGTCACAGCTACTCTTATGGCTAGGGTACTTTTCGTGTACAAGATAACATCGCCCCACATACGGTTCAATCTATCAGCACTACCGGTTAAAAAAACAGTCAACTGAATTTCATTACTAATACTTCTGACGTTAACCAAATTTCCGAGACAGCAATAACATCCGGTTTTTTCTTTATCCATCGCTGACTTGAGCACCGCCATTTTATTGAGTAGGCTGCGAACACATGTGTAGCATACCTTTAAGTCCGCGGAGAACTGTTCATTACCACCCAGAGTGGTTTGGAGGTCGTTTTGCTCCGGAATTTTACAATTTGAAAACCCTTAAGCACGAGATTTCTTTCACCGTTTTTGGCGACGCTCATTTATTTCCGCTTCTGCAGTTCGTCTCTTAATACGATCAGCTAGGCTGAGATCCTCACGGACGTATATTCCGGATCAAATCAGTTTACGTGAGTTACCTAGAATCAGGTTCCTTTCTTCAACCGTGGCAAATGTAACCATCAAGAGGCGGTTTTTCTGAGAATATTCAGAATCCTCCTTTTGTCCTATTCTATAAGGATTAAGAATACTAACTCCTGAAACTGTATCTGGGAGTAGTTTGTTTATTAAGGACTTAGTATCACTGAGATCGTGTTCAAATCTAGTCTTTGGTTCCTTATCGGTAGATTCTCTTAACTTATAAAAAATGACTGACGTCTCAGAAAGACTTGTCTCGACATGCAGTGGAATTTTTTTCCGATACCATGTTATCAGCGCAACCGCCGACGTTTTTCTTAAAGGCCAAAGCCAATAGGCTTATAGCCCTAACCCTAACCAAAGTACTTTTAGTTAAAGTAGACCAAGGATGTTTTTTGGTGCAACAAGTACACAAAGCAAGTACAATCACGACAAGCACACAAATCACTGCCCTTTTTGAAACGAGCGCCAAAGTATCCAATTACAGATTTCCAACTCAGATTTAAGTTCCGAAGACAAAAGACATATAGCTTATGTTAGTTTTTTCCTAGTAGATTTCTGAGTATTTTTAATTCTCTTGAATGATCGAATCGAAACTGCAGATAACACTTTACCGGGTAGCAAGTTCCACGAGTTAATGACTTGGCATGAAAACCTGTACGTCACATGTATTCAGTTTGTTTTATGCTTTTGTGCCAGACTATCATGTCCTCTGAGACGTTTTGTTTCTGTGGTAGGAAAAAGAGATGATATATCAGGTTCAAAATCATCATCAAAATAAACCTTTTTTGAAACCGTGTTATTCGCTGTTTCATCAGTTGTTGGTTCCCACAAATGTCGTTATGGTCTTTTTGATTATTCTCTTTACTATTTTAACTACGACACTGGTAAGACTGACAGTTGTGTAATCTGATGGAAGTTTTCACGATCCTACTTTACTTAGTGGAGTGACGACTGCATCCGTCCAGGTGATAGGTGACTCACCTTGGCCTAGTGACGTGTCGCATATCGTATTCCATAAGGTAGACATATGTTGCGCAAATTGTGTCAGTGTTTTGGGTGTAGTTAGCCCGGTTCAGTAAAATTTTCTTCACTTCTATCGATCGATTTCTGGCACGATCAAGCGGGCTGAGTACCTCACGGTTATGTGTTTTAGACCAAAGCCGTTTTGAGCGTATTTCCCACCATCGGGTTTCTTTCGTTAGCGATTTCACGGTATGATCTATATTCCATCTTCCCTTTGTAATTTCAAAATTCACTTCTACTGTCCTACGAAGCTCACAATTATTAACTCCTACTACAGTTTCCGCGGGGTAGCTTGTTCATTGAGAACTTAATTTGGATTAGGTATCGTTCGATCCTATCCTTTGATGTGATGCGGTGTATTGGGGATGAAGATGCCACAGGTATTTGGAGTTTGACGGCGCTTTGACCAGCAACACCTTATATAAATCGTACCCACCAAGTGAAATCAAAAGACAGAAGCAAGGATGTTCGAAGATATATTTGATAGGCTATCAATATATCGAGGATCGACTGATCTAATCTGGCTAGCGATTGCAAAGGATGTTGGACACGGCGTTTCCACTCGTGATCCGGTGCGGGTGCATGACCGAGCTCCTTCAGCTAGGTGAGTCAATTAAAACTAATATGGTCAGCATCCAATTTCGGAGACTTATGAGCTATTTATTTTGGGGAATTATTTACCGCTACTGGTCACTCCTCTCCTAGTGGAGTAAAGATGACCCTAAGACGTGGCCAACCAGAAGCTTAAACCTAACGAGTTTGTCGCTGGTAAACAATCTTCTGAAATTTCACTGGTTGAAATCATTAGTCAATTGAAGCCAG